CTCCTGACAGGGATTTGAAATATGTGGGATGGGGCGCTCTGCTTCACTCCAACAATATCTTATGATTGCTGGGAAAAAGAGTAAACCAATCCACCCCCATAGCAGACCGAACAGCAGGACAAATGCCTGTCTGACTGCACCCTGAGACACAGTGTCAAAAGATTCTGTGTCTAGTACTGATGCTGACATATAGCCATCTTGACTCACAGCCATTAATGGCTCTAGTCTCTCCTTGGTTTATCCATCCCCTTCATCAACGATCCAGGATGCTGGCTATCACTGCATGTTGTGGCAGTGAATCCCACAGTATAGTTATGTTCTGTGTGAAGATGCACTTCCTTTCATAAAGTATATCCTGATTCTCCTGCTATTCAGCTTCAGTGAATGATTTTAGATTTTCATATTTTGAGAGAAGAAAAGCTTCTCTGTATCTGTTTTCTTCACAGCACACCTAGTTACATATCCCATCATAGATCCCACACTTACCTGTTGATCTAATTTAAGAAGCTCCAAACATTGTAACATTTGCTCATAGGGGAAATGCCTCAATTAATTAATAATTTTGATCTCCCCTTTTTGTGCATTTTCCAGCCCAACAATATCTCTTTTTAAAGAATGGTCACCAGAACTGGATACAGCATTCCAGATGTGGTTACACCATGGATTTACTGTATATAAGGGCAGTAGGGTCCATACATTGTTCATAAATGAGGTACAGGTGAGAAGTGGCCAGGTTTGCTGATGATACACAATGATTTAGGGAGCTGAGAAGGAAAAACAGATTGTGAAGAGATCTAAAACAACACTTTCCCAACTGGATGAATGTTAAATGAAATTCAGCATAAGTATGTGCAAAGTAATGTATATGAAAATAAGAAATCCCTACTTCTTATAAATATTGATGGGATCTGAGCTGGCACTGAATGACCAGGAAAGGGACCTTGGGGTGGTGGTAGATCATAGGTCAAGAAACAGGGGTAAATTACCCCAAATGGGGTAAAAGTGAAAATCCTGGGGGTAATGAGCAGAGTGCTTCCCCCCTCTTTCAGAGAGATTGGAGATAAGCCTGCTTGATTGGTTACAGCTGTGGATTAGCCCCAGGAAATCAATCAATCAATCCGGGGCTTCTGAATGACCGCTTCCTCCGGAAATGACTGCAAAGAAGCAGGAGGAGGGAAAGGCTCAAGGAGCAAGCAAAGGAAGGAGGGAAGAAAGGTGCGAGAGACCAACGACTTCATCAAGCTTATTTAAATGTATGTAGAAAATGGAGAGAGAAAATGGAGGGAGGGAGGAAATGGAGGGAGGGAGGGTGAATGGATGTGTGTGTGTGTGTGTGTGTGTGTGTGAGAGAGAGAGAGAGAGAGAGAAAGAGAGAGAGAGAGAGAGAGAGACTTATTCAAAACTATGAAAAAGAACAGGCAACCAAAAGAGAAACCTTGAATTAAGTGCAGGGGGTGGCTTTTTGAGGTGCTGCCTAGGTTTATCATTGTTTTCCTTCCAAGAAGCAGGCGTCTTTGAATTTCATGGCTGCTGTCACCCTCTGCAGTGATCATGGAGCCCAAGAAAGTAAAATCTGTCACTGCCTCCATATTTTCTCCTTCTATTTGCCAGGAGGTGATGGGACCAGTGGCCATGATCTTAGTTGTTTTGATGTTGAGCTTCAAACTATTTGTTGCTCTCTCCTATTTCACCCTCATTACAAGGTTCCTTAATTCCTCCTAACTTTCTGCCATGCTTTTGCGTAGTCAATGAAGCAGAAATAGATGTTTTTCTGGAACTCTCTGGCTTTCTCCATAATCCAGTGCATGTTAGCAATTTGGTCTCTAGTTCTTCTGCCCTTTCAAAATTCAACTTGTACTTCTAGAAATTCTTGGTCCACATACTGCTGAAGCCTACCTTGTAGGATTTTGAGCATAACCTTGCTAGCGTGTGAAATGACAGCAATTGTATGGTAGTTGGAGCATTCTTTGGCACTTCCCTTCTTTGGGATGGAGCTGTAGACTGATCTTTTCCAATCCTCTCGCCGCTGCTGAGTTTTCCATTGAGGATGATAAAAAAGCACACTGGTCCTTTGATATTGGGCTGTGGCACCAGGGTGTGTGACATGACCTTTCGCCTGGTTTGTTCCTTTTTGCACACCACACATAGAATGATTAAAGTGGTAGGGAAAGCCCCCCAGCCAATTCTGCATTGGCTGTCTCTAGCAAGCATATCATTGCTAGCACCACTCTGGCAGCCACTGATGATGATTAAATCCTCTGTGAGCTAGCAAAAATTTAAGGCAACTTGCTAGGCACGTTGGACACCTTACTACTCCCTATGCTACGCCATAGCTGGAGTGCAATGTGTTCCAGCAAAAATAGTACACATCTTTATCAAATTTGGTGCATCCTGCTAGTTCAGTACAGAGTCTGTGTAGATTCCGTAATATTTTTAATTCAAATAATGTATGATTTCCTTCCTTTCGAATCAAGGGGATAATGTCGGCGTACATAATTTTTTTTTGGGGGGGGTAAAAAGTAAAAAGGTTTCCTGACCCCTGTGGTAGATAGTCTAAGACATAGCTCTATGTCCAAGACAGTACAGCTTAAATGAAGTGCAGGGTCATTTCCCCTCTAGCTGATTCCGAGACTGAACTCTTTTACAATAGAATTGTTTCATATATTGAGAACGTTTATGTCTTTGCCACTGCTGTACAGTTCAAGCTTAAACATAACACACGCACACACACAAAGTCTCAATTAAGACCCTTCTTGGCTTAATCAGTTGCTTACTACCAAATCATAGATAGAAATTGTAAAATTATTCACAATTAATTTAGCCAAACTTTTTTCAGTCTGTGTATGTGTGTGAGAGAGAGTAAGAAAGACAGAGAGAGAGGGAGGGAGGGAGAGGGAGATTCAGGGATTTGCCTAGATGACTAATCAAAGAGTTCCAAAGCCTTGCAGAGCTAAAATAAACAACTCAAACACGTGAGAAAGTGGTCACATTGCAGCTAAGCAAAAGAGAAGCGGGAACTGCAAATTCTTCCACACAAAGATGGTCTCATAGGAAAGAAAGGTGCAGGTGGCATACAACCAAATGTTTTCCAAGCTGAAAACAGAGTACATGAGAGCCTGAACTTCAAGTTCCACACTGAGCACAAAGCAGTGTAAGCAATGTCTCTCGCCTGCATACCACCAAAGTAAATGATACAGATCCCAGGAAGAAGTAAATATTATTTAGAGAGCATATGCTTGAAATATATACATTTCATTCATGATGTTGTCTTCCCTGTTTTTACACCTCTTTCACATCAAATATATCCCATTATATTCCTGATTGTCTGTATTCATGGTGTATAAAAACAAAACCCAGGGCTACTGTTGCAGGCACATAGTAAGTTTGACAGCTCTTTTATTGGTGCAAAACATTCTTGGTAGCAAAATAACACTCAATTCCTCTGTGCTTATGCTTCTACCCCCACAATACTCCTGCAGATCTAGAAACCTAGCAGTCATAACAGAGGGAGAGTTTTGGGTTACAATAGGGAGTGTAGGGAGGGTTAAGCAGCCTCACCAATCCCCCTTCCTCAGTAATGTAATGCAAAACGAATGTTTTCAAGGATGATTTGGACTGGCTACTGGGTTATTGCTATGTATACTGTACTTGCATTGTAACATACACACATTATTTATTGATTTCATTTTTACTGTATTTTTTTTACCCTGAAAAAGGTGTTTGCAATCTGAGCCACCACATGTGAACAAATTAGGCTTAGATGGTTTGCTCCCTGCCTGACCCTCCAGATAAGCCCAGGCCATGGTTTCTGTCCCCATTTTATGCCCATATCTGGTGCATTCAAGTATCCTGAATGCACCAGACTTCAGAAATTACTAGTCTCCCTAACACAAGAAAGCTACCTGGCAATTTTGTGAGGACTATTAAAGCAGTGTCCAGACATATTCCCTGCACTCTCTTGTCCAAACCTCCAATTTTACAATACCCTTCTCTTCTTAGATGTGAACACCTTAGAAGCTTATTCCTTCTTCCCCCATAACAAGTGAATGCATTTGGTAGAGAATGAAGAATTTAACAATGCTGATCAGGGTGAGAACACAGACATATAAGGCCACTGTTCACCTCAGACTTGAACAACATGCTAAATACTTCATGGTGTAATCCATATTTGTAAAACACAACAGCCTAACAGGATTGTAAAGTTTCAATATGTAATTATACATATGGAGTGAGATCTGTTTAGTTCTATGACTTGGACTTTGGCAAAGCATGTGGGGTATGCATGTACCATATTTTTCCGTGTATAAGACTATACTTTTGTCTAAAATTTTTAGACTAAAAATTGAGGGTCGTCTTATACATGGAAGTAAGCTGAGGAGAGTACAAAAACAAGTGGAGTGGAAAGCAGGGATCAAATTGTTCCTGCAGGGCTTCGATCTCTGCTTTCCCCTCCACTTTCTAAGCCCCACTTAGATTTCTTAATTTTGGGTTAGAAAAGTGGGGGCATCTTATACGTGGGGGCGTCTTATGCTATGTACAGGGTTTTTATGCTAAACCTATTATTACATCATAGAGGAAAAACAAACTGGTAGTGATAACTATCATTGAGCTACTTTTTGGACATTTGGCAAAGAGCAGAAAGCATGGAGAGAGATTCCCCAAACATTCAAATATCAGTCAACAGTAATCTGAAAGTGTGTGTTTTTCACTTTGGTTTTAATCCAGAAATATTCAAGATTGAAATAATGAATTATTGTCTCCATTACCCCTTTTTGTACCTTCTATCTTAGGAGCTTATCATTTCTTCAGTGGACTGTGATAACATAATTTTGTCCAAATTTAAATGGCAGTCTGAGGCTATGAGGAAATATAGGGCCTAGAGGGCAGCTACTTTTGACCCAAGGGTTAAAGTGATCTCAGGCAAACACACTGGCACCACATCCCAGCAATGGAGAAAGTCATGGCCCAAATCCTGTTAGGCAGTCTTCCAACAGATGACTTCACTCGTCCTTCACAATTCTTACTGAAAAAGATAAAGGAAGAATGGGACAATGGATTCTCGAAGGCTTTCATGGCCAGGATCTGATGGTTGTTGTGGGTTTTTCGGGCTCTGCAACAGAGCATGGACAGAGTTCCTATTCCAGTCCTCTGAAGATGCCGGCCACAGAGACTGGTGAAACGTCAGGAAGAACAACCTTCAGAACACAGCCAAATAACCTGAAAAACAGAAAATGGAGAGACAGAGCAGTTTCCTATAGACAAAGGTGTTGGAAAAGGGTGAATGTTATCCCCTTATTTCTTTAATCTGTACACGGAATGTATCATATGGAAAGCTGATTCAGAAAGAGGGGTGAAAATCAAGGAAAGAAGATAGGCAGATGACACCATCTTATGATAGCAAGTAACAATAACTTGAAATGACTTCTAATGAAAGTGCAAGAAGTGCCAAAAGTGCAGGTGACCATTAAGACAAAAATCACAACTAGTGAACAACTACACAACTTTAATGTTGACAATGAAGAAAATGAAATTGTTAAAAGATGTTGGTTCAATCATCAATCCAAATGGATATTACAGCCAAGAAATCAGAAGGCTGAGATTTGGAAGGGCAGAAATGAAAGAATTAGAAAAAATAATCAAGTACAGTGGTGCCCCGCATGACAATTATAATCTGTCCCATAGAAATTGCTGTTTAGCGAAATCATCATCACGCGAAAACCATTTCCCCATTGGAATGCATTGAAACCTGTTTAATGCATTCCAATGGGGAAGATATCTCATCGTCCAGCAAAGATCGCCCATAGGGAAGCCATTTTGCGAGTGCCGATCAGCTGTAAAAATGGCTGTCCTGCAAAGCATGGGTCTGGAAAACACAGGGCAGCCATTTTGCGGAGCCGCCGATCAGCTGTAAAAATAGTCATCTTGCGAACAAACAGTTTGCGAAGCACGGACCAAATCGTCATCAAGTGAAAATCGGCCATTGGAATGACTGCTTTGCGAATCACTATAGTGATTGCACAAAGTCATTGTTATGCGGATTCTTCATTTAGTGGGGTCGTCGTCTAGGAGGTACCACTGTATAAGAATGTGCCACTGGAGACCAATGTAATCTCTAATTTTCAGCCCCTGTAGGTGGGGCTCTGCTTCTTTCTTGCGGCTTTGCCCGTGTCCGTGCATGACTCTGTCCCCCTTGTGCACTGGATTTTGTCACGACTGGAACCTAACACGATTGCTACATGGAGAAGGAAGACAGCTGTGTGGGGGGAAGTGGAGTCATGCATGCACACACCCAGCTTAACAGGAACCTTGCTAGAGACCAAGGCCAAGATCATTCACAACATTGTATTCCCGATTAATATGTACGAGTGTGAAAGCTGGACAGTGAAGAAAGCTGACAGGAAAAAACTGAGGCTATCCTACTTTTGGCACATCATCAGAAGACAAAATTCATTGGAAAAAACAATTAATGGTTTGGGTGCAGTGCCACCCCTGAAAATGGAGAAAGGCCGTGTTACAATTAGCTCTTAGGCATCCTTCAGTCTCGAAAGACTATGGTAACATGCTCTGTATGGAGGACTTGGAACAGCGTCTAGTGTGGCTGAGGAGGCCGATTCGAGAGTGACAATCCCTTCCACACTGAAGACAAATCCAATCTGTCCCCTGTCCAGCTCCCTGATTTTGCTGATTTTCCAATTCTCTGGATTTTATTTTTATTTTTATTTTATTTTGTTTTATTTTTATTTTATTTTTATAGCTGGGATTTGCTATGTTCCTAATTACCTTAGTTTATGGAAATGTATTTGAATGCTATGCTTTGCAACAAACTGAAAATCTCTGAATTCTTTATTTTTCTAATAAAACAATAAATCTTAAAAACTTATGTTTGGTCTCTTGAGCAGATAACCTGCTTAATTATTTTACTTTTTAGGCCACAAGTATGCTACTGAGTCCATTTAATTATCTGAGTTTTGCTGGTCTTGGCAGACTCTAAGACTCATAGTTTTATCTTTGGTTTCTCAGTTAATTGTTAATTGGGAACAGACTTGGGAAAAGGGTGTCAGTGGGATGGCCTGGCTGTAAAAGGACTCACTGCAGCTTTTATAGGAGTACACTGGACCCCGGAACCTCTCTGTTCCAGCCTCAGCATTCTCTTAGGAGAGCTGTGTGCTCACAACCATCACCCATTCTCATGACATGCCCAAGCCAACGTAGATGCCACTGTTTCAGTAATGTATATATGCTAAAAATTCCAGCTCATTCTAGGACTACTCTGTTTGGGACTTTGTCCTGCCAGGTGATACCAAAGATTCGTCGGAGGCAACACATATGGAAGTGGTTCAGCTTCCTCTCCTGCCGTGCACAAAGAGTCCAGGACTCACTGCAGTCGAGGAGTGTACTCAGGAGACAGGCTCTATAGACCTGGATCTTGGTATATGTCATCAGCTTCTTATTAAGCCATACTCTTTTTGTGAGTCTAGAGAACATGGTAGCTGCCTGGGAAAGCCTGGTAGACTGGGTCTACCAAGGGAAGCCCTCCCCTGGTAGGCCCGGGCCTACCACCCTGGGAAAGCCCAGTAGGCCTGGTGTACCCTGGGAAAGCCGCTTACCCTATGCCTAAGGTAGAAGACCTGTTAGAAAGACTTGGGAGGGCCAAGTTCTTGTCATCTATAGATTTGATAAAGGGATATTGACAAATTCTGTCAAGCTCTATTGATAAAGAAAAGACTGCTTTTGTCACCCCCAGAGGATTACGGTATTTCAATTTACTAGTCTGTCGTTTGATTTGCATGGAGCAGCTGCTACCTTTCAGAGATTAATGGATAGAATTTAGGAACCTGTGCGGGCATTTGCAGGGGCTTATACTGATTATATTTTGATTTACAGTAATAGTTGGAACATGTGGAACATTTAGAAAAGGTGTTGGTTGAGCTGAGGAAAGCAGGACTCAATGTGAATCCTTCTAAAGGTAAGATTGCAAAGAGGGGAGTGAAATTCTTGGGACCCCAAGTAGAACAAGGGAAAATTCAACCCGTACAAGATAGAGAAAATATCAGATTGGCCACCACCTGGGAACAAGAAAGAAGTTCAACAATTTCTGGGACAAGCAGGTTATTCCTGCCAATTTGTTCCTAACTTTACGGGGACTGCAGCACCCCTCACTGATTTAACTAAGAAGAGGGTAGCCAGTAGAACTCTTTGTTGGGTAACCAAGAATACAATCCCTTCCTCACCCCTTTTTGTGAAGAGAAGCTAAACATTCAAGTTGATATTAACAGTTTCTTAGATGTTCTCAGAAAAACAAAACATGGAGAATAATGATGACTCCTGAAAGAATTCATAAAGTTGGAGTAAGTATGAAACTATGCAAAGGAAAGTCAAATGCCACTTAGGATAATAGTCATCAAAGCATATCCAAAATTGGGCTTCTCGAAACAGCTGAACAGGGTCCTCATGAAGTTTCAAGATACAGTACTCCAGATCTGGTTGTCGCAGTCTCTTCTCTCTCTTCTTGTTTTTAGTAAACCCTCTAAGCATCTCCATCACTTCATTCTCAAAGATTTCTGGAGCAGGCTTTGCTTTGAATTTCCATGTTCAGTAGCCCTGGTAAGGGCTGTCAAAGTGCAGTGCCTGTGTAGACGTTCACTGTTGCCCAGTAATAGATATCCCAATCATTACTTGGCTCATTTATCAGGCAATCATAAAGGGCCAGCTGTTTTTTAATTCATTTGATTCAGTTTTTCTTTGGCAAAGAAACCGAGGAGGAGGCCGTTCTCTAGCATGCCCCTCTTGCGGCTCTCGTACAGCTGCCTCACCCACTTTGTCTCCAAGGGCTCCTGCAGCCAGGCCTGCCAGGGCAGCAGAGGGATCTCCAGCAGGTCCTGTCCGGAGTCGGAAGGAGCGTCCCTCCAGGAGCCGCATCATGACAGGCAAAGAGCATGGCCGGGAAGGAGAAAGAGGCATCAAATCATCAGCGTCACCATGTCGGCTCTCTCCTCGGCCACTCTATCCCTCGCTCCCTACCATAGACATGTGGCTGGTCTGACGGATGTAGCTTGTAGAATAAGATGGGGATTTATTGAACCAAAAGTGTTATATCAGTTGAAGGAGATATTAAATAGCCTACCCAGTAGATATGCCCGACTTCAATATACCCTTTATAGTACAGACTGATGCATCAGACAGAGGCATCGGTGCTCTATTGACCCAAGTTTGAGAAGGTATAGAATATCCTATCATGTACAGTATTTAAGTAAAAAATTGTCACCATGAGAACAAAGATATGCTACCATAGAGAAGGAAGCATTAGCAGCAAAATGGGCTATACAGCCACTGAAGTATTACGGTACTTATTAGGAGCTCCCTTCACTTTAGTTACAGATCATGCACTCTACAATGGTTGAATAGAATGAAAGATACTAATCCAAGGTTGTCTAGATGGTATTTATGTTTGCAACAGTTTGCATTTAATGTTCAATTTAAGAAGGCTAGCACCCATGTTAATGCTGATTATTTTCCCCGACAGGGTGCATGGGAAACTGCCTTGGAAGAGAGGATGGCCCACTTGTGAGGGGGGCATGCGTGCGAAGGAGAGATTGGAAAAAGAGAGAAAGAACAGAGTGAGCCATCCCCTTGAATAAAGACGTGGGAGAAAGAGGGAGAGATAAGAGGAAGAGAAGTAATAGAAAGGGAAGAACTGATGGTGGAAGAAAGAGAAGGAAAACACTCAAACGGGAAAGAGGGAAAGGTCAAAATCTCTTTGGCAGAGGAAGGAAAAGGGAAAAAGGAGGAGGAGTTAATTCTGTCGGTGCGGGAAGAGAATGTAAAAGATCAAAAGGGGAGGTGGGTTTTCAGTATAGGGAGAAAGGAGACAACGAGAGGGGAGGAGAGAAACTAAAGACGATGAGCTCAGATACTGGAAAACGTGGGTTATTGGAGGGCTGTCCTAACTTAAAGGTGGGAGGATTATTGCCAGACCAGGAGTTAAAGAAGGAGAAAGGATAGGTAACGAAGACGCAAGAATGGACAGTTGTGGTCTTTCCCTGAGGACAAGGTCATTGGAGGAAGGTAATCAGACCGGATCCCACCTTCAATCAACCCACGCAATAGGGAGACTGGGTCAGACATCCTTGTTGCGGCACGATATGCACACTGCGGAGTGCTCCACTGAGGAAGCCTACAGCCTGAGAGCGGTTTGGACCAGCCCCTCAATAAACTTTCCTAATTTACAGTCAGGATTTTCATCATCACATTATGGACAATTACCTGATCTTAGCTGTTTTGATCCTATAGAAGTTGTTGTGGAATCACCAAGTGCTAAAGCAAATAAACCTGTTGATCTTTCAAAAGAGGGTCAGTGGTTATTTCCCACCAAAAAGGAGGAACTGCTCCAGACTTCTAACGAACCCAATCACAATTTTCTTTATGCTTTTGTCAGCATTTGGACCAGCCAGGAGGAGCAGTGCCTCATTCTAAAATTTTGGAGTAGGACATCCATACTGCTACAACAATTAGGCCCCTATGCTTAGATACTCTATGTACCTCCTTAATGCTCCCCTCAGTTGCCTTTAAAAAAAACCAGACAAATGTAATGTTTTCCTTCTAGCAGAGCTGCTTCATTTCTACTGTATGCTTTTGTAATACAACAATTACCCTGCAAAGAAATGTTATGATGTCTAAAATTCTAGTTGCTCCATCTGAAAAGGCATTCTTGTTCAGCTGGAAAAGGCACAGTGAAAAGCTGTATGAAGTATTCAAAGTGTGGTCACACAATAAATTTGCATGATAACTTTATGGTATGGCCAAGTCTTGTTTTCAGTCCAAAACATCTCTAAGGTTCAAGCAGAGGACAGAGTTGCAAAACTCTGAAGGGGAGGACAAGACAGAGAGATACAAAGCAATAGAACCTGTAGCAAAAGTCAGCATTGGGCCTGTCCATTCAGGGTGCAGCCAGCCAGCCAGCTATGTCCCTTTCTAGGATTACACTACATTCCGTTACCCCTCCCAGGTTCCCATTTCCCATCTCAACAGTGAGTCAGAATTCCATGGCTATGGAACAGACTCGGTCTTCAGCAAGTAATTGTTGCTACCTTTCTATACAATGTTGCTTCCCCTACCCCGTCCCCTTTTCTGTTAATTTCCGCAAATCCCTAGTTCCCTCAAGTCTGCCAATATTTCCTTTACATGTGCTGTTGATGTTGGGGTGATGTTGTTGCTTTTTGCACTCTTGTTTGCAATTGCTGTGGCCGGTAACTTATCCAAAGATCTCAAGTGAACTAAGCCAGTTCCCCTTAATGTGTTGCAGCAATTGGGGGCGGGATGTGTGTGTGCTGCTGCAGAAATGTGCTGGCATTCCTGCCATCTAATCACTTCTCCTTCCCGGAGTTTTCGAGGAACGTGAGATGTTGAAAAACAGGTTAACCATTGCCACCTCGCAGTTCCCTTCCACCGCGGAGTAGGAATTTGAACCCAGGTCTCCCCAACCCCAGCCTGCCCCTCTAACTACCCCACTACGCCAGAAAGGCTCCCTGCATACTGGAATGTTCGCATAATTTGTGCACACGGAGCCTCAAAAGAGTCCGCCTGTTTTGTGTGTTTTTAAATAATAAAATATATGCAGGATTCAGGGGCAAGGAGCCCCCTCTGCCCTGGCGTCGACGCCCGTGTGGCGGTATTTTTGTAGGAGGAAGGGGGGACGAAGAATTGGGATGCATGGGATGCGTCTTTCCTCACGTCAAGGGGAGGGGAACAATCATATTTTCATCCCCACTTTGTTTGGCTCCTCTTTCTCCAGCCCTAGGTCACTCTCTGAAAAACGGCATGTGCGTGCCTATCAGACCCCCGCGTTTGCTATTTTTGGCAAGCCGTTTCCCGTTGTGTGTGTATGTACGCGGATTTTGGGGTGGGGGGGGAGAAAGAGCCAGTCACGTTGCAGCTCCACGTGCCAGTGGGGGAGCCTGGCCCAGAGCCCGGAATGTGAAAGTTAATCAGGCGAGGAGCAAAGCAACAGTTTCTCTACCTTAGTTCCATACCAGATAGCTGATTGGTGGGTTTTTAGCAACTAAAAAGTGGAATCTAGTTTTATAGAACTGGCTGCTTCAGACATGCTTCATTAGATCACATGTTGATCATTATACAGTAATATGATTATACTGATGAGCTCCTGAACTTTATGTTTCTGGCATCTGTTTGTTCTCTTTATCTGTGACTTCTCTGTTTGGGAACAGGGTGCTTTTCTTCCAGAGCTAGTCCTGCTATGCTATTCATTCTGAGGGGTGAGAGAGGGACACACCATGAGGACAGCCAACGTATGGGAGGGTTCTGGCCAGGCTTGCTCTCCAGAGAGCCGCACAGCACAACAGCTGCACGATATTATTGAAGGAGTCCGGCTCCGGCCGAATGTCAGCTGAACCACCCCGCGAAATTTGAAAAGTGACACGAACGGCCATCGGCAGCCTTGCCCCTCGGATCTTACGGGGGCTGCTCCCTGGGCCCAACGCGAAGGCAGTTTTCTTGGCCGGCGCGCCAAGCGGCGAGAGCCCCGCCTTCCATGTAAGTGAGTTCCCTTTTGCAATCCACCACACAGGAGACGATTTGCAACCCGCCAGCGTCTCCCGGTGCCCGTGGCGAGCCCTCTTGCATCAGTCCCACTAAGTTCTAGAGCAGTTCCGGTGCAAAACTAGTCGTTTGACACAGAAATCGATCAGCGTGCAAGGAATTGATTGCACTAACGGGACATCAGTGAGTTTCATGTTTAGTCATGTCAAGGGAATTTATTCCCATATTACTGCAGCCTTGTTTGTAAGAGAACTGAGTCCTCATTGTCCTGCCATCTCTAATCGATTCCTGGATACATTTAGTGTTTACCGCGTGCGCGCTTTAGGCAGGTTTTGTTGTACTGCGTTGTGACAACCTGGTGTTGAAAAATCGATTGTATTGTTTCTAGAAACACTACCGGATAAACAAGTGAAAACAGCTGCAGAGTGAAAGCTGAAATCCTCTACTCGCTCCTCTGTGGGGATAAGTCCCATTGAAATCATGGTGCTCACCTTTGAGTAGATATATGTGAGATTGCACACGCTTAAATCAAGGTAAATTATCCTACTTCATGAGTTTGGCCTGACATTCCCTCCCATTTATTGTCAACTGGGGGCGAGAGATTTTCTCTCGGAGGGAAATACAGAGTTTTGTTCGAGAACGTAATATGATCCGTGGCCAACGTAGGAAGGTGGAAAATTTCAAGGCGTTGCAATCTCAGACTGAACGCACTAGATTCAAGTCTCAGCCCTGTCTGCCCTTCTGTGGATTTACCTCCTGTGGAACATAGTGGAATTTGATGGATTTAAGAATAGAGATTATTTTTTTAGTACAGTATAAAGGGCCCGGGATTGCCTGGACCATGGCTGCCACCATGCGCCTACTCCCTAAGCAGTTTGCCCGGTTAAACTGTCACTTTCTTTCTGCGTAACAGAATTAAGCCCCCCGCCCTTTATTTGCTGCGTCCAGGGTGTCTCTTTTGCGCGACAGATCCTCTTTCCATTCCTCTGGTGAAGTGGGCCGTAGTGTGGGGATGCTTGCAGCAAATCAACTCGTTTTCGTTTTGCCACAAGATCCTATGTTTGGGTTGGATGCCTATTACTTATGAGCGTTTAATGTTCTCAGAGTTGTATGCTTTCTCCCTTCCTTGGGCTAATACGACTCCCGATTTTGTAGTAAAGCTATGCCAGCCCTCTGTTGTTGTTTTTTTTTTTTTAAGTTACTTATTTTTCAAGTTGATTTGCTGTTTGCAGAAGCTGCAACCGTTAAACCGTCAACTAAAGGCTTCGCCGGGCAAAGTCCGCCCCTCTAGCCTTGTTTATCCTCCTGCCATGAGGTGACACAAAGGTCTCGTTCCTATAGGCTGCCGGTGACGTCTATCACGACACACCTACCAAACAGTGCCCAGCCGCGGGGGAAAGTGGCGCGCTGCGGGCCTTGCGGAACGTAGCCGCTTTAAACAACGGAGTGAATTCGTTTGGCCTTAGCAGTGTTGAGTTCGTTCCGTTACAGCTCTTGGTGTTGCTGAAGCAAAGGGGCCGGACGTGGAGTTACTGTAATCCTGTGACTCCACGTGGCACTTAACATAGGCCTCCGGGCACTATGGATGTTGCTGCTCCACGGCAGGGCTGACCCAAGACATTTTGCAGCCTGAGGTAGAACGACGGATTTTCTGCTCAATTCTGAAATCTAATTGTAAAATTATGAATTTTTTTTAATGAAATGTTTTTGAAATATTAGAAACATTTACTGTCATAGTATCTGTTGCAGGGTTCCAGGTGCTGCTTTGTAGGAACTAGGGTAGTATGTTTCATTTTTCACTCCTGCTGCTTCTGTTTATAATACACGTGTGTATGGCGGAGTGGGTGTGAGAAATGGCCTGTAAGTGGCAAGATCAGAGGAAGAGAAAATGCAAAAAAGTACAGACTGTTATGTATGCATGACTCTCCAGTCCTCAGTAGCCTATGTACTGTTATGTATGCATGACTCTCCAGTCCTTCTCAGTAGCCTATGCAAGATGATGCTATGTATGTGTATACCTACCTATATACGTGTACGTTGTTACAGTGACAATGTATAAAGCTGTTGAATGCAAGCTAGTGTGTTTACATTTACACCAGCAGTAATTGAACACACCCTAGTGATGGTTGAAAATGTGTCCATTTTCTCATGTATAAAAAGATAAGAGTTGTGTGGCCCTTACAAAATACAGTGCTGGACGGGCAATACCTTTATTAGACCACTAAAAAAATATCTAGCTTACAAAATACAGTGCTGGACGGGCAATAACTTTATTAGACCACTAAAAAAAATATTTACAGTCTGTTAACTTTTGTGGATCAAAGCCAGTCTCATGATGAAATGTGAGGGTGGCTTTGCACAGGTTGCTAAGGGTCTGTCTTTTTTCCAGCACTGCCATGTTGTCAGGCAGGACATACTGTAATGGGAAAAGTCTGTTTTCTTCTTGCATAGAAAAGGAGGTGTTTAAATGGAAAAAGAACACCCCATTTGCTCCTGTAAATTAGGAGAAAAGTAAATTTGCCCTCTCGAGGCTTCTTTTTATGTAGATGTCATCTGCTACCGTTTCTTATGATCACACACCAAGAAAGTTCAGTACATAGTTTCTCTTGAATTCCATCCTTAAGTGCTTGATTCAGTGTTGTGTCATCTGTTGCTAAAATCCAACCACTCAAATCACATTGTGAATAGAAGTTGGCTTTCTTAAAAATTAATACATCCCATGTACACTCACCTGGCAACAAACTCCGTTGAGTGTTGTGTGTCACTACTTAACATGCAAAGGAGTGAGATATAAGGTTTTTCTTATTTTGTCTAATTATTGGAATAGACTGACCATAAATATTAATTTTATTTAACAGCACAAATCTCTGATGCATTTCAAATGGGAGCAGTTATAAACTACAATGCTGTGCCCTTTGGGGATCAACAATAAGTACAGTTTCCAAGTTCATTGGAAAGTGTACATTAGTCTGAAAGATGCTTGCTAGTTGCTGAATCTACTTGCCTTCATTAGTATTTGAATAAACATTTATTAAATTACACTTTTATAGTGGAAAATGGATGCTTGTATCTGAAATGGTGGGAACTGTATTCTTCAGTAGAGCAGTCTCATGCAGTGATGTCATTATTGCTGTACTGTAGTGACACCAGCTCATCTTCCAGCAGCTCTGCTTTAAAACACAGATGCAGCAACCAGAAAAGATGATCAGCCTAGCCTTAGCCTTTTCCCGCAAAGACCCTGACCTTGAACATGCCCCACCAATCAGATATTGGCCTTGAGGGATACCCCCCCCAATTGTGCATGCAAGGAAAACACCAAGCAGGAGACGAAAAATTAACTGTTGTGGTTATCAATTCGTTCCCTTTTTTCCCCACACACAAAATGGACAAGCAGAAGTGCAGGACTAAGGCATATAAGAGTAAGCATGTGAACAAAAACAAAGAATATGGTGGCATATCAAAGTCTGGCGAAATTTCTTGGATTACAGCTACTTCCTCACATGGAGTGTCGCTTCAAGCATGCAGATGCTTACATAACTTTGAGGAGAGGGGAATTAGGAACATAGAAGTCGAAAAGGTGCAAACATCCATCATTGTTTTAACAAACATTGGCTGGGAACGGGCCAAGGACATTGCTGTATAGAAAGAGAAGCATAACAACAACTGTGGTGATGAAAAGTTTTTACATCCCAAGAGAGTTGAGTGGACTACCAAGGGAAGGGTGGTGGGCGACTCGTGAGGGATTTCTATAGGGAGGTTGGGCAGCCCGTTGCTTCGTCTGGGGATTTCCTGCAGCGATGGGCGGCAAGACTCGACGGGCCTTGGGGGTCCCTTCGAACTACGTATATACCATTATGACTCATCCGGGTTCAGTAGGACTTCATGCCAGGGAATCAAACTAGATCACGGCCTTATAGCGCAATCTTTGGCGTGTGCCTGCTCAGAAGTAAATCACGTGAAGCAGGCGATCTTCACGGGTCTTAGGTACAGGATTGAAGTTCCCTGGATTCTTCCAGATTTAACTTCGCATGTAGAGGAAGACACCCTCCACAGACCGGAGTTCGGGTCGGTAGCTTTCTCAAAGCCTTTTTAGGATAATCTTTCGGGGAATGCCCTCGTCCTCTGAATATTATTTCCTCGGGATCCTCCGCTAAGGTCGAACGGAATAAACCCCTTCGACCTTAGCGAAGGATCCCGAGTAAATGTACCCAGGGCTCCACTGTGCAGCTCCGCGATTTTTGTGCCTGGTTTAACGCGCTTTAATTTCGAGCGCTCCGTTTTCCCGGGGGAGTTGTGCATTCTCCCTGCTGAGAAAACTGCAGTCGCGCCGTGCAAAGAAAAGGAGGCGCGGCGCCCTCCAGTCTGCTTGGAAAGGAGGAGCCCTGCCCGATCTTCTCTGCAGCGGGGCGTGCGGCTTAGACGGAAACAGCCATGCATCTATATAGGATCGGGTGCCGGGGAGGGGTAAAGAGAAACGAACAATTCCGGAGCCCTCCTCGCCCTCTTCAACTTGTGCCGTTGTGGGAAAACGGAGCCGCTTTCGCCTGGCCGAAAGGGAGTTTGCAAACGCCTCAAGCGGGGGAAGCAGATGGTGCGGGAAAAAGACCGGGAAGCTATTTTCCTGTTTGGCTTTTTTCTTAAAAGAAAGGAGAGAAAGCAGAACCTGCTACCAAGTTGTTTCAGATCGTTCTCATGTCACCACCACCAAACAGCAAAGTGAGCATAAGGGTTCCCAATTCCTACCTAACTAATCAACCCCTTCCATAATTTTGTCTTGCACTTAAGGTGCCCAATCTCAACGTCAAAATTCAGGATAAGAGTGGTTGGCCCTCTGTGGTGCCAGCTTGACTGAAGATGCTGTTAGAAGATTATTTTCAAAGGAATTTGCTGCGGGATTGTTTGAAATAGTGCAATGATAGGTTTTGCTACTGTTGCTCCTTTGATGGAGGTGCAGTAATTTATTTTAGAGCCTACCTCTGGAGATGGTTAACTTTTACTGTTGACATGGCCAACAGGCCAGAAATATAGAGAAACCCCCTCTGGCTCCCTCTTTTGATTCTGCACATTGAAAATGCAAAAACCCAAAAGATGACACAAAACTTCTCTTATCACTTAGGATTTGATAAGGGAATGCTGAAAAATGAAAAGTGCATCTTAAACTACCCTTTAAAGGTAAAAAGTAATCGAAAATTACTTCTTTGGGAAGTACTTAATGATTGAACTCCTGTTTAAGTTGGCATCATGTAAATTTACATCTGCTGAAGTTTGAATGGCATTGTGTCCAGGCAGCCAGAATTCTGCAGTTTGATCACATACAGTAGTTCATATCTGGAAGTGGTTCGTGTATATTACTTCTTCCCTGCTTCAATTTTTTATTTCAGTTTCTTCAGATTATGCATGCTTACTTGCACTACAGGACTTTAGCCATCATGTTACTTTTGGAATATAACTTAGTTAGACCTTCTTACCCAAAATATTAGCATCATAGAATAATTTAGTCGGAAGGGGCCTAAATCCCCTGCTCAATGCAGGA